TGCCACGGGCAAAAAAATGACAAAACAACCAATAACATTCCAAATTTTTAAAAATCTGGTTGTAAACATAATGAGAACAATCACATAACGAAAAAAAACTATACTGTAAATAAGTAACATGACTATGAACATTAGGTTTAAGCCATAGGCCAGCCTTCAGTGCTTTCAGAAACCCATAATCTTAAACGTACAACCCTACCAAAATAAAGCAAAAAAAAAACAAAAACAAACAAAAAAAAAAAAAAAAAAAAAATTCCCAAACCACTAACTGATTAAGATGATACATGTAGTGAAACGTTGACGAGTCCAAGTCGATTGCAAGTCTCTAAAAAAATTAAATTCAATTAGTCCAATTGGTAATTCAGTACTTAACATGGAATTCAGGCAATTCACAGTGAAATGATCAACGAAACCATAAAAAAAGAATCATAAATTTCACAATTATAAAAAACTGATAAACAATAATGTAAAAAATGAAAATCAATTACTACTGAATCACAATTTGAAATATAAATCTTCACCAAATTATAACACAAACAGATAAACAAAAATTCCACTGATGTGATTTAAACATCATATATCATCCTAAATTCTATTCAGAAAATTGAGAGTTGCATAAAACATCATAACATAATAAAACACATCAAACTATAATATAATAATAGACAAAGTGCAAATTACCACCCAACCATTAAATTACATGACTCCATAACTATTAAGATTAATGAACAGTCGTCACCATGTGAGTCTTCATTGATAGTGAGGTTATCCCTCCTACATATATTTCTTTAGAATATATCACCAGAAATGCCTAGAATATATTACCTAAGTTTGTTTTTAGTCATATTTAAATGGCTGGTGTCCACATGATAATTAATGTCCACAACAAAAATGCACTACAATAAATGTGTGACACTTTGAAATGTCAATCAAGACATCAATAAAAATCAATAAACAGCAGACAAAACATATAAAAATGCAAATTCAATATCCAATTAAATTACCTAGCTAAAACCATAATACAGCATCATGATACATCAATCAATTAAGTAATATGGATTGTGTAAAGATTTTTAATAGTAATTTGAAAATGATAATTATAATATGATTAAATGAAATCTCAGAAAGTAGCATTTATCCCAAATATACTAAAATAATTAGTTTGTCATATCTCTGTATTATGTTTTCATGACTAACAAAAAATTTATAGTTATCATTGCTTGAGTACACAACAAGGCCTAATAAACTTAGGTCTGACAACAAAATATTTTGTGTTTATTACTACTTTTTACAATACACAACACGTCAACAATGAACAGAAAGAATCTTTTTAGTTCATAGTCTGTTCTCTCTTTCTTGGGTCCAGGGAAAAATACTAAATATATAAAGGCTCACCATTCTAATTAGTAATTAAAACCTCGGGGCTAACACCTGCATTCTGAGGAATGTCATTATTGACATTCCACTTGTTCTCTACATTCCTTCTATAGTGCAATCCTTTGAAATAATCCTTTCAATAATAAATATTGCTTCTGAATAATCAACGAGTAGAAACATTACTGATTTGGATTGCTTATAACAATATGTCAATGATAATCAACCCACCACATTACAACAGGATGATGAAAACAATATAACTTTGTTTATGTGTAAAAGTAGTGTTGGTTCTTAACTGTTCGAAGCATGGCAAAAAAGGTGATTAAAATGAATTAATCAAAGCAACAAAGAAGATTTACTTGGTACACAAAAACCCAAGTATTTATAAAACATTATATAAAATATTGGAGATTCCCAAACCATTTGTATATTAAGAGAATTTGTACATTAGGACTAATGTTTATGGATAGGATCCCCCCACAAACCATCTCACTTCTCCACTGAATTCTGAGACAGCATGTTGTAATAAATAAAAAATAAGCAAAACAATGGACATTTAAGAAATACATCACTAGCAATATGGTTCCATCAATACCATTAAATGTCAACCAAAAATAATAATTCTCAATTTCAAACATGAGCGACGGGTTGAAATACACCTGGATCAGGGGTCAAATGCAATTAAACTATGCAACTAAGGCAGCAATCGAAGAGGAATATACAATATTTAAACATGTCGATACCATATTAATACAAAACCATAGGACCTATGAGATTAGACCGAATCCAAAAGTTAACTTAAATAAGTCACAACTATTATAGTGTGAATTTAAGCCATAGGTGATTTCGAAATAGTAGCTGACATTAGTTGCGAAATTTATTATATAAAGTAACAGAGACTAATAGTAAAGTCCTGTACGTTGAGTAAGGACAACTTAGGATTGACCAATACCACCTAAAAACACAGAAAAATGATCAAACATTGAAACAACTTACTACGGAGAATAAAACTTAGTAACAATGGCGCTCAAAAACAAATAAACAAACATAGATTAGTTCAGATTATAATACAAAGTACTTTAAAACAAAATTGATAAAATAAAAAACAATTTTTATATCAACATATCATAAAACAATAAAAACATATATTATAAAGTATACTTAAAACTAACAATTTAAACCCCAAGCAGTAAAAAAACCATTATCCGTATCTGCAATTATCAAAATTAGGTACTGACCACGTACATAACAATAAAATCGTATGTTTATCCAACTATTAAAATTCAACACTGGTAGTTACACCGGAAAAATTATAATTATTGGTCAAAAACAAATAAAGTAAAAACAATCAAAACAGATCACCACACTAACTAATATATACCATCCAAAATTAAGTATATGAGAAAAACATGATGTCAAATATATGTGATTTTCTAACCCTAAACCTAAGCGTCAATGTAGTACAAAAGATATCGGTAGAAAAAAACTAAGAGACAATTGCTCAAAATATACGGAATGGTCTACGAGCTTAACAACCACAACTAAAACTAAACACTACAAAAAATACACAAAATAAAAATTAAACAAAACTGAAAAAAAATATCAATGCCTAAAACAAATTCAATAAACCAAATTAGAGTAACCACCCAAAGCCGCCTAATAAAATCAACCAAAATTTCAAAAATATAAAATAACTCATTCCTCTTAATCTAAATTCAATCACACCACCAACCCCCTATTCTCAAAATTCCATACTATTCCCCCCAATTAATTCATATATATATCACTATAAACTTACATACCAATAACTGAAAATTTATCCTACATAAATAATCAATTCTCATTTCAAACACATATTAAAAAAAACAATTCGAAATTAATCAAGAACCAACACCTATATTGGCTACAAACAAAAAAAAACACCCAACCACAACAAACAAAACCAAACCACAACACAACCACAAAAAAATCATAACCATACCATATAATAACCAATCTCCCTATATATTATTATATTATAATAAAAAACAAATCCCAATTATCATTAACATTCTAAAAACCAAGATAATTCAACATCAAAAAGTAACACAAAATTAAACAAAAATCCCAAATCCACAACAAAAACAATACATACCAAAACCCAACTCCAGAAAATATATACCCCCAACACAAAAACACACCAATTATCAAATAAAAAAATATCCCCCCCAACAAACTCTATAAAATAATCCTACCCCTACCACTCAACAATACTAAAATTATTCTACCCCAAACATACTAATACTACACTCCCCTCACCTACCATCCATATATCATCCCCCACCCCCAAATCATTACAACCATAAATAATCACAATAAAACCATAAAATCATCATCTAATCCCCCCAACCTCATCACACATCTACCCAATCCCCCCTCAAATCCAACCCACCCCCCAACCAAACATACACCAAAATAACAAACAACAAACACAAACACAAATTAATCCAAATTCAACCAACACCATCTCCCCATCACTATTAACTATAATATAACCACATCCATTACCTTTTAAAATAAACCCCAACTTCCAAACATATATTACAATTAAATAACCCATAAATATAATTAACCAAACCCCCAACCATACTCAACTAAACATTCATTTTACATACTTTTCATTACCAATCTATTCTATCTCCCCCCCATCCCCCCCCCAATACCCTTAAATATCAACATTAAATATCACACCTAACACCACCACATCAAACAACATCCAACACCCCAATCTCCCCCTCATAACCACAAACCCCATCTCACTCCACCATCTCCCCATCCCACATTTAATTACTTATCCTTACAACCCCTCCACTCCCTTAATCTCCAATCCCATTAATTAACCAATAACATCCCCCCATCCTAAACATTTTCACCCCTCTCCTCATACACACACCACTTCTCTTCTCTCCCCTCATTATTCTAATTCCCCCCAATCACATATCTTTCCTAAAATCCCCTCCACAAATCCCTTACCTATCCCATTTAAAATTTACCACCATCTCCTCTTAATCTCCCCCCTAATTTCTATATACTGTAATACTTACCACCCACCACAAAAATACTCTTCAACCACCAACACAAACCTAAAACCCCCACAACACCCACACACACTCAAACTATAACATCCATCATATCCTTAATCAACAAATCTCATTAAAATTCACAAAAAATATATTCTTAAAAACAATCCCACTCAAAACCCCCAACAACCCCACACCCTCCCATACATCCCATCAATTCCCCATCACCACCCACATCCTACATCCATCACCCATCCTACCCCAAATACCATTTATTCCCCCCATACCCACCCACCAATAATACCAATCAAATTTCAACAACCCCCCCCTATACAAAATTTCACCATAAATACAAAAACCTTAATCCAACTACACTAATTCCCCATACCTCTTCATCTCCCCATCTTAAAAATCCCTCTCAACTCACCAAAACCTACCATTACCTTCCCTACTTCACCCATATAATCCTCTTTTTTTACCACCCCCTATCACAATATACAAACCCCCCTCATACCACCCCTACCCAACCCCCCCCCCTATACCTCAACATATCCTTCCACCCAATCAACCCCCCTCTACAACCTCCTCACCCACCCAGCACAACACCCCACCACCTATATACCAAAACCTTCATATTCACACCATCCCACCCACAACCAATCCCCTTATCACACAAAATTCCTATACCCAAAACACCCCACATTCTTCATCCATCCCTCACACCCCACACCAACACCCAAACTCATACCTAACACTAAAATTAAAACCTCTTCCTATCTAAACATTAAAACCCATATATCCTCTCATCATATTCCCATACAAATCTAAATATCAAACCTTAAATTCACCACCAATTCAAAAACAATAAACCCCCCTCCCACATTTATCAAACTCCTATAACTTTTCATAAATCTCACATCTCACACCCACTTCACCAATACTCCCCCCACCCAAAAACAACCCCCTCAACCCCCACACCCCCATCATCTTACCCTACAACCCTTACACAACTAAAAACCCCATAAACATCAAACCCCCATCACCCTATTCCAAATTCAACCACCATACCCTCTACTAAAAAAAATCAACATACTCAAATATCAATAACAACCCCAATCTTTCCTATCCCCTCTTTACCCCAACAAATCCTCACCCCCCCATCATTCACATCTCCCAACTCATAAAACAAAATACAACACCCATCAAAACCCCCATTACACCCCCCCTTTCCCCCCACCCCATTATCATTCTACCCACCACCCCACCACACCACCAACCCTCCTTTCTTATCAATCCCTCACCCCCCCTCCAATCTCTTATCTCCTACTTAAACCTAAAAAACTACAAAAACAAAAAAACCACCCTCCATCATACCAATATACAATAAAACCCATAAATCATTCCAAAAACACCCTCCAAACACCCCCATCCCCATTAACATATTACACAATAACTATTTAAAACTACCACTCAATTTACTTTCCAAAACTCACATATTATCCTTCTCCCACCACCTCAATCCTCCACCAATCCCCCCACAATGCCATATACATCCTTCCCACCCAATACACCATAAACCCTCATTCCTATCCCCTCTACCAAATTCCCAAACAACCAAACACCACAAAATACATCAAATTATCACCCAAAAAACTCTTACCCCTCCATACAAAAACTTACCCAAAATAACAAAAACCAAACCACAACCTCCCCCACCTCCCCCAAACAACCCCCTCAAAACATATAATACCCCCCACCTCCACCCCCCAACAACAACCCCATCCCACCCCATCTACCCCTCCCTCAACCCACCTATACTAACTTCCATAAACCACCCACCTCATCCTATTCCATACCCCTATCCCACACAATATACCACACAATATCAACAACTCAAATTAACTTATACATCATCACACTCTAATAACTCTCCAATTCTACATCCCCTATTCTCTTTTTTACTTTCTCATTTATATTATCTCACCTATATACCAACCCCTCCTTCTTAAATCAACTAAAAAAAACAATACCTTTAAATTTTAATCATCCTCTCAATCATTATCCCTTCATCCCTTATAATCAAAAATTTCTTATATACCAATTCAATACAATATATACCCCTTCTTCATCATTTAAAACTAACCCTTCCACAACCTCCCAAACCTTAAATACCCATCCCAATCAATCCCCACATACCTTCATTCCCCCCACCAAAAAACCTATAAAACCAATTAAACTACTCACCAACCCATACTCCACCCTACCCATCACCCCCCCTACCCAATATAAACAACCACCCCAACCCACTTTTTATTTTAATTTTTTCCTCTCCAACATCAAACCTATTAATTTACCCATACCCCCATAACAATATCCTCATTTCTTTTCCAATCTTCCCCCCCACATCAACAATATAACCCTATCATATACATCTATTCACTAAACACTCAATTCTAAACCAAATCTCCCCTCTCCTCACCCTCCCCCCCCACTCCCCCCCCCCCCACACCCCATCCACCCCTCATCCCTCAAACATAACCCCTCCCTTTATACACAACAAAACCTTCAATATTACCCCCATCCTCACCAACAACTACATCCCCACAACTAACAACCACCCCATTTCACCCCTTCACCCCAAATAACATTACCTTCACCATCTATTTAACCTCTTCCCACACCCTACTATTATCAATCCTACTTTTATCTTTATATTCCCCCTCAACCCTCCCTCAACAAAAATCCCTCACCTCCCTTTAATACTTAAACAATCAATCTTAAACTATAATATCACCCACCCCCATCCATTAAAAATTTCCCCCTTCATCACCTAACATAAATCCTATCCCCTTACCCATTTAACAAAATTATACCTCCCCAACCACCCCCCCTCATACCATATTTAAACCTACAACACATCCAATATCCACAACCAACCAAATACTACCTACCCACCTACCTACCACAAAAAACAAACCACCAAACCCCCCCCTCAACCCCTCTCAAACCCAAGAATATTTCAATAAAACACAACCCCCTCTCTTATTTCTCCCTATACTCCACCTTCTTCTCATCCTCCCACAAAAAATAAATTTATTCCTTCCCCCCCCCTCCCCTTATCTCCCCAACCACAACCCCCTCCCTTTTCTCATTCCACCCCCCTTCCCAAACACATCCTCCTCAACCCCACACATTATTCTCTATTCATCACCATTCTCCCCAAACACCCCCTAAACCCCTCACCAATCCACCCACCCCCCAACATCATTAACATACCTAATTTAAACAAACATACCCACTAATAACCAAAATCTACCATAACTATTCAATACAATTAAAAAAATATACTAACTACACCCACATACTTACCCCATCACCCCCCCCCCCAAAAACATTCCTTCCTCCATTCAAATACACACCCAATAAAACAATAAAATTTCTTATACCCACCCATAAACAAAACACCAACCCCCCAACCCCCAACCAACAAAACCCAAAAAACAAAAAACCAACCCAAAAACCAAAAAAAACACCACCACCACACCACCCCCCACAAAATACACCAAAAAAACCAAACACACCACACAAAAACAAACAACCATAAACAAAACAATAATCAACCCCCCCCCCCAACAAAAATTCCAATATTCCCAAAAATAAACCCAAAAATCAACCCTCCCACCCTTCAAAACCCCCATCCCCCTTTCCCCACCCCACAATCTTCACCAAATTCCCCAAACACCACCCACCCCCCAATATATCAAATTACCCACCACCAAAACAATTATATCATCACATCCCACCCTTAAAAAAAATCAATCAAAATACCCCATAACAAACACTTCATCTTAATCCTCATATATAAAACATACATTCACAAATCCATACACTTACATTTACATAATAAATTCTATCCCCACCCCACTTCACACATAAATAAAAACCATCCCACTTCAAACTTTTCCGTATCAATCATATCTAATCCCCTAATCTCAACCAAACCACTACACCCCCAAACCCAACAATATAATAAAACTCAATTCTTCAAATTATATTAACAACCAAATTCCACCACCCATCATAAAAATTCAAAATCCCTAAAAAAACTAATTAAAAATATATCTATATATACCATAAAATTCCTATACCAAAAACAAATATTAATAAAACTAACTACTCCCAAATTCCAACAAAATACATCTTTATACAATTCTAAATAATAACACCAACATAAAAATACTCAAGATACATAATTTAAATTTTAAAACTCCAAAACCCACCAAAATCCAATAAACATACACAACACCCAAATTTCAAAACCACACATACTAAATTATATCACAAATTATAAATCAATAAAAAATCCAAACCATTAAAAAACCCTAAATTCATACACAAAAACTTATACCAACCTTATTCCAAATCCCCCACCTCATCACCCCCCCCCAAAAACCCTACATATACCTCTACCTTACAACCAAAATTCAACAATCTATTCACTCTCCATAAATATAACACAAAACTCCAACCACACCCACCATCCCCACCACCAAACCCCATAAAACAAACACCAAATCCTCCACCTCCATAAACCCAACCCCTCCAATAAAACCCCATCTCTCCATACCCACAACCCCATCACACCACCATCAACATAATACTCTAAATCAATAAAAATCTCACCAAATTACTCCCATTCATCAACACATATCTTATTCCTTAAAACCCTCATAATCACCCCAAATATTATAAAACCTATAAATACAATTACCCCCCACCTAAAAACCAACCCCCCTACCCTATCTCAAACCACAATACCCCATTAACCAAACACCCATACACCTTCCTCCACCCATACCTCAATCTCCCAACTCCCCACCCCCATTCCCCCCACTACCATCCCCTAACAATCATAATATACTCACATACCAACCCCCCAAATTTTCCACCTTACCAAATCCCCTTCCACTTTACATCATTAAATTTACCCAACACATTAAACTCCATTCACCCCTACAATAACACATAATCCACCACTCAAATACACCCAACTAATCACTAACCCAATCCAAATCCCCAATCACCCTTTATCTACACACCCCCCTAACTCCCATACATTCCAATCTCCTCTACCACAAAAATTATTCATCCCCCACATTACAATCATCCTCCCCACAAATCCACTTATCCCATACCCCACATACCCTACCTATCATATAACTCATTATCACAAAACACAAATACCCCCCCCTTCCCCTCCTCCCACCTAATTCTATCATCATCTCATTTAATATTTTTCACTACCCCCCCCCTTCCCCAACTTACCCCCCCATCCCCCCCATCACAACCCCCCATCTCCCATAAAAATTATCCATCCCCCCCCCCACACCCCAACAACCCCCTCTTATCATTCAAACTCCTAAAATACCCCTCTCCCCAAACCATATCGATCAAATCTACCCCAACCCCTAAACCAACCCCCACAAAAATCCCCCATCAACTCCCCTCACCTCCCCCCCCCCCCAACAACCCCCTACCCTCCCCCCCCCCCTCTCCCCCATATTACACCCACCACCATTAATACCTCATTTATTTAATCAAAACACCAATTCCCACCATCCCCCACTCCACCCCCCCACCCCTCACATAAAACCTACACTAAATTCCCACAACCTACTCCCCCCTCAAACACCCATCCCATCCACCCACCCCTATCAATCTCCCCCCTCATTCCATCCCTCCTTCCCCACCTCTGCCATTCCCCCCCTCTCCCCCCCAACCTCATCCTTATCACCTCCCTCTTAAACTAAAATCCCACCAACTACATTCACCTCTCAACCCCACAAACTCACAATAAAACCCCATTCCCCATATCTCTCTTCTCTCCCTACACAATCCACACCCCACACCACACCTTCCCTAATAATTCTCTAACCTCTAACAATCCCCCCCTACTACCACCCCACCCCCCACACCAATTAATCCCATCCCACCAACTACCCACTACAATAACATATCCCCACCCTCAATCACCCAAATCCCATATAAAAATTACTATACCCATACCCCCAACCCCACTCCCCTCCCCCCCCCCACCACAAAAACACACAAAATTTTCAACCCTCACCAAACATTCTCTAAACCCCCAAACCACAAAACCACCAACCCCCCAAACCCCACCCACCACCACCACTCATACCCCATACCCCAACCCCACCAACCCTTAACAAACAAACACCCTACAATATTAATACCCACCCATAACAACCCCCATACCAATCCAAATCCATAACCCCGTTCCCATCCATCCATATCCAAATCCAAAAACCATAATACAATCAATCCCCCCACCAACAATATACCCCCCCCAAAAAATACTATCCCTAAAATATATATACCCATACCAACAATATTCTCCCTCACACACAATCCCCACCCTTCCCAAAATACCACCCCACCAATCATTACCCATTATCATACACCCACCCTCTCCCCCCACACCTCTTCTATTCACCCCCACCACACCAATCATCACAACCCAATATTACCCTATCCAATCCCCCACAAATATCCTCTTATACCCAAACCCAAATCCCCATATAATTAATTTAATCAAAACCAAATCACAAAAAATCCCCCACAAAAAATCCTATCAAATATACAACATAACAATCAAAATACAAATCCAAACCATAATACATACAATACACAAATTCTTAACACATAATAATCATTACAACAAATATTAATATAAATAAAAATCATAATAACCCCAAAAAATAATCAAAAAAAACAACAAATATCAACAATACATAAATCAAACAACAAAAACTGTAAACAACATTCATAAAACAAATAATACCTCATCATTACAAAAAACATTAATACATAAATCATCTAAACATAAATCATACAAACCATAAAGACATAATACAAATTTACAAACAAGTACTAACACAAAAAAAATATACAATCAACATACAATTAAATACCCACACTACCCAACATAACCTCCAATCACATGTTAACTTATTAATTTTACTTGTCAATACAAACATTAATTTATTCCCTAAACTAAAAGTAATTCATTAACCTCAATATTTCATTAATATCTCACATTCAAACCCAAACTCTTCACAAACATATATCCAAACACCATATACAATAAAAAAAACTAAAATAAAAAATAAACACCTATCCCACATATAACTAATCACATGTCATAAAATAATTAATATTATATATCCTAAAAAATCATTTGAATATGAGTACATCCCATATGTCAACCTATACTTGTAAACCCCTACAAAAACTCTAATAAATGAACATTAATTATTTTTCTGTACATACACTACAGTATACAAAAAAAAGAAAAAAATCATCACATCTACCCAAATTTCACCATAATTTCTTAAAAACAATCCTCCAATACATATTCATCAAAAAAACAATATTAAATAAAACATAACCATTTTCATATAACACCTAAAATAAAATACAAAATCCAAACAATAACTTACATTACACATACAAATAACCATATATTAATACATCAATCAGCACCTCAACCAATTTCCAAACATCCACATAGCTATACAAACCAATTATATCACCCAAAAAACACAAACATTACATAAGAATTTATTATACCAAAGAACAAAACATTAATAACAATATTACCAATACTTACACAGGTACAATACATTAATCATGACACGATAAACATAGACATTAAATAATCTAAAATTACAAACAAGACTCAGTTCAATATTCTCCAAAATGAAAAATCTATGCATTACTATCTTCTCCAAAAATCAATAAGTAAATTTTTAAAAATCTACACAAAAAAAAACCACTACATTTCATGCCAAAAATACAACCACACTTATATATAATAATGCTTGATAATAAAACAAATTTAACAACTCTGATTTAACCAGATCATAACATTAATCTGACCTACTAGATAAAAAATATTAAGATCAACTATCGGTACTGCCAATCACACTGATCTAAAAAGCATAACATCAAAATAATAAACAAAAACATGATATGTCCTACGGCCCAAAATGATATATTAAATTTAAAAACAGTAGGAGACTTTAGACCAATTATAAGAATAATATACCCAATACAGCGAATGCATGGGTCCACTGTCTTCTCCGAGCAGGACTAATTTAATTTGTAACCCTCACCAGCTGTATGGCCCAGCTCATCAAACAAACTGATTTAAACATGGCTAATCTATGAGGCACCAAGAGTTTGTGTGCCATGACGCACATGAGGTTTTAATTCAGACAGATGACAGACAGGTGCTGAGGGCATGCAAATAATTAGTTTGATCGTAACTTTAGTCTAAATGGAATATGATTAATAATTTATTAACTTGGATACAGAAAAAGAATAAACACTTGAAGGGGCTCCGATCCAAACCAGTATGAAGAAGATCTGTGTATCGAGGAGGACAATTTAACATAAGTTTTAGCGAACCCAGATTGTAATAAGCAGAATCAATATTGACCCAACTTAAACACACAAAACAAACTGTGAAAAGATAATTCAATTTATTCTTATTCAAATCAAGTTATTAGAATGTGCTTTAAGTAATTAACAGCAGTTAATCAACTGCATAGAACTAATAAGATCAGAGTAAGATTGCTTTATTTATCTCACAGAGGAGAAATTTACATGTCACATTTGGCATGGATAGAGACACTCAGATTGTTAAGCAAAGGGAGGGAAATGTGCAAACATGTTACATGCAGGATATATGTACAATAAAGTGACAATAATTATGTACAACAAAAGTGACAAGTGTCAATTGGAAACAGTGTCAATAGTAGTGCAGGTTTTTCACACAGTGATCATTTAAAGTGACTTATTGTACAGTCTGACAGCGGTGGGGATAAAGGCCCTGTGGTAGCGCTCCTTCCTACACTGAGGGTGGCCTCAGTCTTCCACTGAAGGAGCTCCTCAGCTCCTCTACAGTCCTGTGCATTTTTGGGTGGGAGGTGTTGTCATGATGGAGGTGGCTTTGACTAGCACCCTCCTGTCCCTCACCTCCTCCACAAGTCCAGGGAGCAGCCCAGAGTGGAGCTGGCCCTCCTGACCAGCTTGTTCAGTCTGTTTCTGTCCGCTCTGTGCTGCCCGGGCCCAGCACACGGCAGCGTAGTAAATGGCAGAAGCTACCACAGAGTCAAATAAAAAGTCCTGAGCAGAGGCTCTGCTCACTTCTGAAGGACCTCAGCCGACTCATAAGAAGGAAAGAGGCGACTTTGGCCCTTCTTGAGCAGGCGTTTATATTATGTGACCAGTCCAGTTATTGTTATGTGAAACACCCAGGTCCTTGAAGCTGTCCACCAGCTCAAAGTCGACCTCCCCTGGATTTCATCATTGAGTGGTTAAGATGATTTCACTGTAAGTCGACAACAGGACACATATTTTACCACAGCAGTGAAGAACTTGTACTAACATTAAGTAAAAAGTGATTGTTGAATAATACATTACAAAATCGAAGAGTTAAAAGTCAATAATAAACTAAAAATTCTACTCTCTTTTCCACCACACGTTGTTTGTTGTGAGAGAGATAGTTATCTTAATGACATTAACCTATCGATTTTTGGGAAAAAAGTATAAATCAACAAACCTTTTTATTAGATGTTAAAACCAGACTTCCTGACTTGGAAAAAAAAACGATAGTCCAGTGCTTTTCGACTTCATTAGAAAACCAATTACCACACACTTATGAACATCAGGTGTGAGGACATTTAGCTGGTTGACAGCTTCACGGACCTTGGTTTTCACATTAACAATAACTGGACTGTACCATATAAAAACGCCATGCACATTAACAGGCAATACGCTCTTTCTTTCAGATTATGCTGCGGTCCTTCAGATAGTGAGCAGGCCTACTCAGGGAAATTTTATGACTCAGTGGTAGCTTCATTCCCAATTACTACTCAGCCGATTGTGGGCCCGGGCAGCACAGAGCGTTAAGAAACAGACTTAACAATTGGTCGTTAGTCCAGCTCCACTTGGGCTGCCCCTGACTATGTGGAGAGGTGAGGTGACAGGCGGGTCTATTCAAAATTCACCTCATCATTTACTACACCTCCCACCCACTGCAAGGACTTATGAGTAGCTTGAGGTATCTCCTTAATTGTGAAGTATGAGTACCCTCATTTAAGGAAGGATGCTACCACATGTCCATTAACCACCTCTAGTCAGACATGATACAATACATTACTAATAAATGATCATGAGTTGAAAACCTTCAAAAAAATACACATTTACCAAATCCAAAGTCCACAATAGTTTTACATCAAATATACACATAAATGTACTTATCCTGCCAAGTAACAATTAATCACAAAACCACAAAATCACACAATCTCTACCACCACTCAATTTCCCCAAATTTTACTCATAAAAAAAACCACTTATTATAAAAAATAAAATCAAACAATATACAAATATAACAAATCATTATAAAACAAATCATTAAAAAAAAACTAACTCACAAAAATAATATAAAATAAAAAATAAAGAAAATAATAAAACACACTAAATAAAATAATTAAATTAATTTAAATATATAAATCCGAAAAACCAAACAGTTAACTCAAAAACAAAATTAAAAATACCACCACTAAAACCATAACAACAACATACATTTATTGTCACTTATCCCCATCCATTTTTAACAATCATAAAATCATTAACCAATTAAAAAAAAAATAAACCAATTCCCAAAAATCACAACAATAACTAACAACCCAAAAAAAATCCATCCCAACATCAATACATACAACATACATCAAACAAACCACCATATCTACCATTCACACACCTACAATTATCCACCCACTCAAAACCCATAAACCCACCCTTAAATAAATCATTCTCATTTTCCCAACCCTATTATATTTCAACTCCAACCAAATACCATCTTTTCTAATACTATTCCCCATCCCACTTCATAACTTTAATAAACCACAAAATTTACTCCCTACCACCACATCACAACCAAAACACATCACCAAATTTACTTCCCCCTAATAAACTAAAAACAAATCATAAAATCATAATATCCTATATCATTCCTTATCTAAATAATCCAAACACAAAACACATCTCCTAACCCATAACCATAAAAACACATTATATCCCACAGATAATAACACAAATAAGCACACTCAACTACACCCCCCTATATACCTCCTCAAAATTACATCACATTCCTCTTATAATAAAAATTTATTTTAAATTCCACCTTACCAACATATAAAAATAATTCTTCCTTCTTACCATCCAACTACATAAATCCTTACCACCATCAACACTAACAAAAAAATCCCTAAAACATCAACAAAATAATACAAACTTAAAACATACCATAAACTCATAGAATTCATCCCTAGACCTACCACTTCCAAATTACCAACCACTAACCATCACAAATTAATAAAAAAACCTCAATAACCATAAACTACTTAAAATTTATCCCACCTAACCTCCACAACCCCTATTCCTCCCCCCTTCCAATATACCTCTTATATAATCCATACCACCACCACCTTAACCCACATACAAACCAACCTACCCCTTAATTTCCTATTCATCCCCCTCAACCTAATCTCCACCTTCCTCATACCCCTCCCACATCACCCCACTCCACCACTCATCCTCCCTACATTCAATCACAATCCCCACCAAAACCCAAATATCCTCTCACTAACCAACCAATAACAATAACTCATACCTCTTTCCCATACCCCACCCCCCCTCACCATATAACACCCACCAACTCTCCCCTCCATTCCCCCTTTCCCCCTTCATCCTCCATTCATTCCCCCACCTCCCTTCCCCCCACCCATCCCCCCCCACCCCCAACACATCCAATTAACCACAAACATCCATTATTTCCACATCATCTACAAACACCACCCTCACCCCCCCAAACACCATACACAAATTCACCTATACTATCACCATTCTTACTTTTTAATCCCCTCTTCCCCTCAAACCTATAAAAACCTCCACCATAACTTGCACTTATCCCAACCCCCACACTCCTAATCCTACCCCCCCCTTACATCTACCATTACATTACAATCTTTTCCAACCTTTCCTCTACCACTATCTAATCACTACACACCCCCCAATAAACTACCCAACCTACCCCTTACCTACCTAAACCCCATTTCCTAATCACAACTCAACATCCTCAACCTACAACCATCACAACTATTCCTCCACATTACCCCCCATAACCCCCCAATAACCCCCTACCATACAACAAATCCAAACAACCAAATCACACACAAATCACAAAACAACAACCCACAAAATTAACACCCCAACCTCCCCCCCACAACACCATAATCATACATCCCAACCTATAACACCACAAAAAACAACCCTACACCCAATCTCTAATCCCACAACCACCTCAACCTACTACACACACATCCCACAATCAATCACAAAATATACACATCCCACATCCACCAACCCCTAACAATTCAATTACAATCCACCACAACACATATCATAAATCCAATCCTAACCACATTATAATTCCAACATATCTTTAGTATGTCCACTCCACATCAATTCACCTTTATTAAAAAATCACCCTAACCATCCTATAATATATAAAAATAATTATTCATATATACAATATCCACTTTATTTCACCCATATCTTCCAATCCACACCCAACCCAATCACACCAAAACATTATCCACAAATAAAATTTCAACCCTACTACTATAAAATCAAAAACAATCCTACCAAACCCAATACCCAATCCCATCCCAACCCAAAAAACTAACCAATCAAACCCCATAATACATTACTACTAAAAAACCTCCAATAATTAATCATATTCCATGATAACCACTAAATATAAAAATAAAAAATCCATATACTTCTAATCTAAACCTTCCAATCACCCTACCTAATCAAAAAACCCCCAAAACAACACACATAACTTAATACAAAACACATAAAACATAAAACCCTTCCCCCACCCCCCCCCCCATAAACTTCTCCTAATCTTACCCACCCCTCACATAACCACCAACTTTCTACCCCCCCAAACAAAAATACTAATCAAACCACAAAAAACCCACCACCCATACCCCATACCATACATCACATACTACCCTCTTTCATATCAACAATCAATTTACCTTTCCCCCTAACCCACAAAACCTTCTCACCCTTTCCACTACCCAACACCACCATTTTAACACCCCATCCCATCATATAATTTCCCACAATTATACCCAATATCTCCTTAAAAACATCTATCATTGCCCACTAATCAAACAACAAAACATAAACCACACATAAATCACAAACCCCTCTCTCCCCAAAATCAAATTATAAAAACACCCCCATCATACCCTTACACCCACCCCCCCCCCCAAACCCCCCTATTGATCATACACCCCAAAACACAAATACTTCCATATTCACATATTATATATTAACAACACTAATCTCATCCCCAATTCCCCCCATTTCCAACCCATATTCAAAAACCCAACCCCCATCCCACCCATCCAATAACATTCCCCCCCCAAACCCACCTCCCAATACCACCTAAACCAATAAATTATCCAACCCCCCCCCCACCTATTCCAAATTAATCTCAATACCAATTACACAATTACCTATTTAACTCAACCCCCCCCCCCCCCAACCACCATCACCCCCCATATACATCCATAATCAAAATATCCTCCAACACCACATCCCAACACCCCTTTCCCAAACCCTACAAACCTCACACTCCCATTCAACACACACAATAAATAAACCCCCCACACAAAACCACAACACCCTAACCCACCCAATATTTTTCCTTTTTATCACACCACCATTATCATTTTCAAAATCACTAAAACTAATTCACAAATTAATCACCACTCTTCCAAACCCCCAACATTACACTTATCACCACAACTACCCCCCCCACTTCCTCATTATCCTAACTCAACCCCATACAACAAACCAAATCTACCCCCCCTCTCACTATATCTACTATAATCCATTATCATAACTCCCTAATCCCCTTTCCCTACATACTTTCACACTCCCTAAACAACCTACCCCCCCCATCCTCAACCTTCCCCATACTAATATACCTTCCCCCCATCTTATTTACCCCCACCCCCTACCCCCCCCCTCCACAATCACCCCCCACATACCCAACCACCACCTTTCTACACCACCAAATCAACCCATTCTTACCCCCCCCCCCCCCCCAACCCACACCACACACTCCAATACACTTATTCAACCATCCCATTCAAGAACCCCCCCAATTCATACTTAAACCCCAAAAACAACACCCATCTCCCACCCCCCCAAAACCCAAACTAAATTCCAAACTAAAACATCCAACCACCCCTTTAACCCCCCCATCCTAACACTACTCTACTTTCACTAACACCACCAAAATTACCATAACATACCACAACAAACCCCCTCTTAAATTATCACCAACTATATCACCTTCAACCATTCTATAACCCTTACCATAATTACACCAAACATTCAACTACCAATAAATAAATACCCAAACAACACACCCATAACCCCCCACCCACCTCAAAACCCACCCCCAAAATCTATATCCCACCCCCTAATCCCCCAAATTTTAAAATCAACACCCCACCCCCCCACCACAACCCACTCTCCCCCCTATCTAATTATCCCCCCAACACCATCTCCACAATCTCACCCTCTATTCTCAAATTACACTACTCTACCCCCCCAACCCCCACATACACAAACCCACCCCCACCAAACCCCCCCATCCCACCAAACCCCCCCATCCCCCCCATACCCTTCACCCCCCACTTCAAATAAACACATTCTCTTTCCCCCCCCCCCCTCTCCCAAATCACTCCCCCAAAATATCAACTATAAAAACCTCATCATATTAATCTCCCCCATTTCCATTCCCACCACCCCCAACCCCATCCTTCTCCAAAATTCATACTCTTCACCACCCATAAATCAGATATATATCCCCTCCCACCCTTACATCCAATCCCTTCCCCTATAACCCCTACATCAGCATCCCTCATAATTTCAAACACATCAACAACAACCCCAATTATACATCTCATTCCAACAAAAACTAAGTTTCAACTCATCACACCATAACAAATAAAGAAAAACTCATCCCTCTATGTTTATTATAAACAGAAAAAATCACCATCCCCTCTCCCCTTAACATTACCTTACAATATAAAAAAACCATCAAAAATTAAATAACAAAAATACAACAAATCACAAATCCAAAAATAAAAAGCAATCAAACACACAAGATATCACGAAAATATCATACACCAAACACAAAAACCAAACAACCAAAATTATAAAATCAAAAAACATATCCACCCCAACAACAAACTCTATAAAAATAATCCCTACCCCCTAACCACTAAAACAATCATTACAAATAATTTATTCCCATACCAAATACTTATACTACATCCCCCTCACCTTCATCCATATATCATCCACAACCAAAATCCATCTAACCAATAAATATATCACATATACTCATAAAAATCATCATCACCACCATCCACCCCCAACCATCAACCTACTAACAATATCTCCCATCATAACCCCCTCAATAACAACCCACCACCAACAAACATAAACCCTACAAAAAAAAAAAATAAAACCCAACACAAAAAACAAAATTCATACAATTCCAAACCAAAACATCTCCCCCATATATTAAATATAATATCAACTCAATAAATTACCATTAAAATAAACCATCACCTTGCCTTATCTATTACCAAATAATAAACACCCATATAACATATTATTAAACCTACCAACCAAAACAATACTACCAATAATTTTCAATTTCCTACTTTATTTCTACACTTCAACCCACCACATATATTATATATAAACAAAATTCCCACAACAAATTACACGCTCAAATTTCAACTTAAATTTCACCACATAAACAAAAAAAATACAAACATAATATACCACCAAAATTTAATTACAACAACACAAATCCTAAATAAAAATACTACCACATACCACATTTTAGTAATCTATCATACAAACACCCATATATACCTTATCCCTCCACAAATCACCACTCCTTTACACCACCATAACATCCCCAACCAATCCTTAAAAAATGTTCACCCACCCTACTCCCCGATAAAACAACTATACCCCCCCACCCTTATCTCCCTCATGATATTATACTTCCAAAAACGCACATATCTTTATCAAAATCCACCCATCCCCACACATTCAATTTCATTGCACAATTCTAAAGTACACTATATACCACTCATTACATACCTACCAAATTATTATACATATTAATCCCATTTAATATGAAAAACCTATAATTATTAATCATTCCTAAAACAAAAACTTAACATGAAAACACAAAACCAAAAAAAAAAATAAACATTAACATTTTAACTTAAAATCATATGCATTCAATATTCAAAATATATTGTTTTATTCTAAAAATTTGCAGTTATTACAAAACTATCATCAGAAAAACACCAATCTAAAAAATAACCACTCATAAATCAACATTCCAATTACCACATAAAAACAAATCCTACTAAATCCACCAACTCACATATAACATATTAACTTTATTACACAAACAATACACAACCAAAAATAACATACCAAAATAAAATGTTAGTTAAACCAACACAATATAACAAATTTTAACCTTACATTTCAATACAAACATTAATAATAAGTCAATTACATTAACCAATTAAAATCTTCACATCTCAACAAATCTTTAAAAATCATCTCAAATAAAAAAAATTCATATTACAATTAATACTTCAAACATATACTATCTTTTTTTAACCACAAATATCCCCAACCATATCCCACACAACCACCACTCCCTACCACACCTTCCAACACCACAACACCTATACATCTCATATATCCCACACACACTCAACAACCCACTCTACAACTCTCACCCCAACACTCACAACAACCTCCTCATATACCTATAACACCTCTTATTCACCCCATCACTCCAATCATCCCTTCCCTTTTTTTTCTTTTAATTTTTGGTGTTCACACAATATGTCATCTCCACCAAAACATAACAACATCTATAGCATGCAGACACTCTAAACAAAACAAATTATCAAAATGATGACCATACAATCTAAACTTCAAATAACTTCGTTTCTCATCTATAAATTTGTTATAACATGGTACTCATAACTTGCATAATTGAAACTTACATTTACGACTTTTAAATTACCTTAAATTAATCAATAAATTAAAACAACAATAAACCCACCCATCAAAAATCTTTATTATTTATAAGATATCTTTATTTTATAGAAATTAATAAAAAAAAAAGGCATAATGTTAACTGAAAAAACAATAATACCATCTAAAAAAGATTCACCAAAACCACAATTCATCTAAATTAAAAAACTGTCCCAAATACCTCAATTACACAGTTCACTGCTTAAACACATTAAATACATTTTTAAATTTCTATCAAACCATTTCCATAGTAGATAATACATAGATCATACAATCAAAATAGATAGTGTTCCTTACCCTCGTATAGTCATATACGCCCTTGACACATCTATTTGATATAAACACCCAGATGACGAATATTGACGCCAAAAGTCATAAATATTTTAATTAATAAATCAATAACAAAAATACAACAAAAACAGTGTAAAACAAAAACAAATATTCAATCTTTTAGTAAAATAAAAAAAAAAAAATAATAAAAAAAGCATTATTTATAAATGACAGACCAAACTTCAAATCATATTAATCATCATACCTTCAATAAGAATAATTATTATTTTAATTAAATACACCATCATGCTCAATTGTTAATTTTAACCAGATTATTACATAATTAAAAACTCAATTTATATAAAACACATACAACTTGCAAAGAGCTACATAAACGTCATAACATTTTGTTTATCGTCAAATATGTGTAACCGGTCTTATCAACAGCTCTCTAGGGTGAATTAGACCCATCAAAAAGCTATTACAGAATCAATTAAAAAAAACTCTGGACAATTTTAATGAAGTCAAAAACATTTATTCATGATTAAATCATATAACATTGACAAATCGAATATTGTGACCTTAAAACTTAACTAAAATAAAATTTTATGTATTGGTTATCATTTTAATAGTGTAAAAAATAATTTAACGATCAAAAACAATAAACCTTAATTATATATCTTCATATTCCGAACAATCCCGAACACTTCAAAATACACCCTAATTTTGATTTGTAAACAATAAGAAATCCAAATATAATCAAACCTGACATCACAAGACTACAAAGACATTACACATCAGATCACGTTAGCGAATGTTAAAACACTAAAGCAGCGAGGCTCGTACAAGCAGAATCTATTGATGAACAACTAATTTAGATTAATTAGATTTTTTAGCGTTTTCATGCATGAACTCGCGATGATAGAGAAAATGGAGGCTCATCCCAAAAGTATGAGACGGGTTAAGGGAATTTTAATTGCTGGTGAGCACTCAGCCTGTGAATAAATTACACAGCGTATTTTTTTGATTATCTTTTTTTTAAATTCAAAATGGGACTCTAGGGGAAAGAAGCGAGATTGATTGGTGCACAGAGCGACACGTAGTTGTTTAATTGGATGTGAGAGTAATTTGGCTTGTATTTAGAGTACCATGAGGATGCAGCAGGTTTTAGTTCCCCTCCTTTCAGGGACACATTTAGCCGTATGTCTTTACCACTATACTTGAAAATTAGTAAGCTTGCAAAAACTCATTGTATCTCTTAGCTCTTTCATGTGGTTCAGACATAGACTAATTCACCTGAAGAAAAACAGAATGATCCCAAATTCCACTTGTGTTTTACATAATCCCCAAATCAAACTGGGCCAGTAGCTTATTGATTTATCAGATGGTTGGGACCACCCTGTACAAATGTTTATCTGTGCGATTGGATGGCAATCAGACAGCATAGATTATCTGTTTTCCAAGGTATTTTGCATACATCGTGGATAGTTTAAATATTGCACTGTATGATAAACATGAAGCAAGAAAAGACCTCACAGCAAAAAATATCCAAAACCATTACAACTTAATCAATCCTGCCATCATTCTTAAACACAGAAATGTATAAAAAATTAAAAGGATTATAGTAAAACTTGAAGATAATAATTGTCTATACTACAAAAAAATTAGTTATTAACAAACTGTTCTACCACCGATCCAACATTTGGTTTTTTCATGACCTGCGAGGGTCTTCAGAAGTACTCAAAACGCCAGTTGCACAGACCTTGCCAAGTGGGTAGCTGGGATGCAAAAGTCTTCGCACATTATCTATTTTTTCCATACACCACTAGCGGTCGCACGGTTCTATGAATTACATCTGTCTTAGTTGTGAACCCCATAAAACAGCATAGGTTTTGTTTCATAACAGGATGTATACCAGTCAAATTTATCAAATTGCTTTCAACAGTGTTCAATATTGGTTTAAAGACCAAACAACAACAGATGTCTAGGACTACAGTTTTAAGCAAAGTTAATATAAACATCCTCAATTTTTAGAAATTCAATAAGTAAGTCATATTTATTATATACTAATTCACATACCAGTATCACAAAGCGCTATACAATTGTAGTGGTCATTTGTTTCTCACTCCACACAGTAGTTGTGAGCAGTGAGTGTGTCCTACAGGAGTCAATGCCAGAACTAATACTACATATTTTTTTGAATTAAGAAACCACCTCAGACACAATTGGATAGAAACATTCAAAAACCACCATAAAATTAGAA